GGCATGTATGCAACGACCCGTACGCGCACCCACGTGCAGGGCGCGTGCACACCCAACCGTACACGCACCCACCCGTACGCACACCTACCTAGAGGCGCGTACGCACACCTACCCGTACGTGCACCCGCCCAGAGGCGCGTGCACGTCCACCCGTATGCGCACCCACCTAGAGGCGCGTACACCTCCACGCATACGCACACCCACCCGTATGCGCACCCACCCAGAGGCGCGTGCGCGTCCACCCGTATGCGCACTGACCCGTAGGCGCACACCCAGCTGTGGGCGCATACACAACGACCCGTACGCGCACCTACCTCGAGGCGTGTACGCATCCACCCGGACGCGCACCCACATACGGGCACGTACAAACCCACCCAGAGGCGCACTTGCTCACAGCTGTGTACGCACTCTCCTGTGCACACGCATGTGCATACGTGCACCTCCATCCATGGACATACACGCACCCATATGGACACTCACCCGTATGCACACTTACTTACGTACCTGCGCTGGCACACCCACACCTCCGCCCACACTCAGGTGCTGCCCAGCCCTCACCAACTCCCCTCGTCTGGCTCTAAGGTACCTTGAACTCCCCCCTTGTCTCCCCCCCTGCCCAGAGAGGCAGACCCTGAGGGTTGTTACAGTGTCAGGGCTACTCCAGCTGGATCCCCACCCCCACCCCTTCTTTAAGCACTCCCAGCCTTATTTGGAGGAGTAGCCCCTGCCTCCCACCCCTTCTACCCCGACTGTCCAGCCACGTCGCATCCTGCTCTGCTGTCTCAACCCCCCACCCCAGCTCCTGGAAGTCAAGGTACATTTCATAACTTTTTCCTGCCCCTACACCCGATGAAATTAGCAGAGAACGCTTTGGTACAGTCCACAGCCAGCCCATGTTAACCAGTAAAAAAGCACAGTGGAAAACATGACAATCCAGTTACAAAGAGGCTGGCTACTGCAAGCCAGGACCTGCAGGCCCTGGGAGCCAACTCTCTGCTGGAGAAGGGCCACCAATGCACTCGGCAGGAACTCGGTGATCACGGTCTCTGCTGACCTTCGAGTTAAGATGTAGCACGGAGTGCCCGCACGCCAGGGCAACAAGCGAGAGCGCAGCCGCGCTAAGACAGGCCAGCGCCGGCAGTGCCGTGGCTTACCCGTTCGAGATCCTGCCGGAGATGCGTGAAGAGCTGCAACCTTCTGAACAGAACATCCTGCTCCCGTTTAGCCAGATTGTCCTCTTCGTCCTTCTTTGGGGTAATCAAAGGCTTATTGAAGTTGGCTTTTCTCTTCAGCTTCCAGTACTGGTAAAGGAATCCCACCGGCTCCTCGGGCAGCCGCAGCACTTTAGCCACTTCCGAAGACTCCACAAAGGTATAGAACTCGTCCTCCAGCTGCTGGAGCTTCTGCTTGCGGAGGCTGACCCTGTGGGCCTCCTCCTGGTTTTGATCCATGCTGTGGAAAGGGTCGATGTGGGCAGGAAGAGAGCCGTCCTGAATCCCGTTGCCGTTCTCCTGGCCTGGCCTTTCACTGAAAGTCTCCTCATCCGCTTTCTTGGTGGAGCTGTGCTTGGGACAGTAGGACTTAAATTTCACCTCATCGTTCTCCGCCAGGATGGTCTTCATCTCCAAGCCACGGTCAAACGCGCAGGTGACGTGAAAGGCTGTTCTGCAGTTCTTCACTGAACACTACAGAAATTGAATTTAAAAATTGATCAAATCTAAATTTGAGAAGCCACACTGCCCAAAACTATCCCGAGCAGCCAGGACTGCTGTGGAAGAACAGCCCCGTTACCGCGCTCTACTCCTGAGCTGCACGTACTTTCTTCCTCTCTCTTAAGTAGGTTTATGATCTAGTGCTTTCGGGCCCAGCGGGACTGGAGCCGTTAACCCCTGCCCAGCCCAACCACGCTGTTCCGTAACGGGCCACTCCGCAGGAGGAGGGTTCTGGCCGCTCACGTAAGGCAGCGTTACCCGAAGGGAAACGTTTCCCCTTGTGTGCCAGCGTGAGACAGGGGGAAACAGCTCCGTCGCTCTGGGCCAGGCTCGTACTTTAGTTGGACGTCTCCCCCAGCACCTGGACCCACGCTACCCAAAATGCCTCAACCAAGGGGAATTATTTTTTTTCTTGTTACCTCTTTTTTATAATGTCAAATATTAAATCGCTGTCAATCACTACTTCACTGACTACAGCCTTCACTTCACCTGGCGGAGGAGGAGAACAGAAAACTCACTTTTTTGGTCATTTTCCTTCCCTCCCAGTGAACCCAGCTGTCATGGAGTGAGGGGCGCTACTTCAGCTGATTTAGCCCTTCATTTCAATCGTATATACACCTTTCTCCTGCAAAATGCTGTCATAGCTACTGCCAGCCACAAACTGAAAGGTTTACAGAGAGATATATTTATATATCTATTCACATAAGTATGTGTATACACACACAGGTACACGTGCATTTGTATCAACTCACACCTCTGCCGCCAGCAAAAAGAATTGGAAGTGGAAACGAACGTCAGTGCTATCAACTAGGAGGAAACAAAACGATGCTGAACCCAACCAAGTCCCCTAACCTTAAAGAGAAATGCGTTGCACTCGGATATTTATACGGTGCTTTGTAAAGAAGCCAAATATCTTTCTCCTCTGGGTCTTCCTGCTCAGGCTGACACAGCAGCCAGATGGCATATCAAGGTGCAACAGAGTTCGAACTGCAGCAGGTTCAAATGAACATTCTTTAATAAAATCAACATATAAAGGGAATTAAAAAATACCACAGCACCGAATTAAAAAATACCACAGCACCGAATTAAAAAATACCACAGCATCTCCTGCCCTTTCGCCTCCTAGCAGCTAACAGGGCTAAGCAGCCCAACGGGAACCCTGAGCAGTCCAGCAGAGCACTTCAGCCCTGGTTCCCAAGCTGCTATCGTTCCGAAGAACCAGCTCTTAGCGTGGCTCCTGTTTTCCTGGGAGCAGAGGGGGAAGCCCGTCTCATCGGAAGGAAAGCTGACCCTGGGAGAACACACCGTCCCGCGTTCCCCAGCTCGCTGCAGCTGCTCTGCCCGGCCCAACGCTGCCACCCTGCCTGCTGTCCGCATCTCGCCCCAGCGCCGCAGCATCTCTCGGTTCATCCCGCCAACGCTACTTCGTTCTCTTGCAGTGGCTTCACACAACTTTCTCCTGTGCCGTGTAGATTTTTCACAACACACCCCCAACTATTTCTGACTGCGAGCTTTAATGATACCAAGATTTACACAACTCTCTTAAAACGTCAGGCAAAACTGTCATTTTTTGGTCTCTCCCCCTTAATTTCAAGCGTAGAACTGTGTGAAGCGGCAGCCATCCTGCCCGCACGGCACCCTGTGTCATCACTAGAAGGGGAGAGGTGGCGTCGGGAGAAATACGGAAGGACACCCCCCTCTCCCCTGCACGCCACCATCCCTAAATACTCAAAGCCTTCCACTGCTGGAAGCGACCCCTCAGAACGGGCAAACCAGTCTCGACTACGTACCAGCGGCCAAGAGGAAGGGGACAGCTCTGCAAGCAGCTATTACGACTGCAAATTTATATGCTGCGGACAGATTTATTTTCCCTACTTAACTTTCACTATTTATTCATTCCTTAAATGGAAGCGGCCTGATAGGTTTCACTGGAACTACTGCGGCATTGCTGTGTTACAGCTTTTTCTGGCGACCTCATCGAACGGCTCAGAGCAGAGGAAAGGAGGAGATGGAGAAAACCTAATTTTAAAAAAATGTAGGACTTCACATATTTCTGCCTTAACACTCGTCTTACCGTCACGGACCCTGTTACATCAGGCTGGCCACAAAACAGAAAGAGCTCTCCTCCTGCCGACTTCTCAGGAGACGGAAGGACCTTCCTACCTGTCTCGGGGAGCTTTCTGAGGGTCACTCTGCTAAAGCACGTGAAGCACTTTGAAGGTGAAGAACATCACCACAGTACTAAGCCACGTTTTATTGTCTTTTTCCACACAATCACGACAAGGGGGTCACCTGTCCTTACTCTCATCACCTGTTCTTGAGTCAGGTGGATCAAAGCTGTCTCACATCTCAGGAGAACAAGTATCTCCTCCTTCAAAAACCTGGGGCTTGGCAATGAGTTTTCTCAGTCTTTCTAGATTTTAAAATGGTTAACATTTCTGAGTGATTTCCCACTTCACACCTAACAACCCGATACAAACACGCAGGTGAAGCCAGGCTGCTCGCTCTGCAATGCTCTGCTGCGGATCGATTCGGTTGTCCAACAGCGACAACTCGCAGGCTACGGTGAGAAAGGCTGAATCCCAACGCAACCGGAACCGCAGAGAGAATTTCAGAGCTGTGCAGCGAGACACGCTGGCACTGGCCCAGGAATGCGAGTCGTTGGTATGAAACAAGTGGCGCTACAGTTTCATTATTTATTGCATACGAGAAATCATTCTTTTTGGAACTACAAAGACTAGGCGTTTGTTTCGATTCTGCCCCATCTCGCTATTTGGGGCAGTCACCATCCCCGAGCTCCGGCGAGCACCAGAGGTCAGAACAATCATGTGGCACTGCTGCTACAGCAGTGGGAATTGGGAAACACACCCACGAGGTTTTTTCCCTCCCTTAGAAACACGAGGAGCTCCAGAATGTACCCACAGCCACTGGAGGAAACGGGGCTTGTTTCCTCAGACTGGGGCTTGCCTAAATCGCAAGGCAGGCCGCTCAAACAGTCTGTTCCTTCCCTACTGCTCAAAAAGCCTAATGTTAAATCATCAGATGTCGTCCTCAGCAAGTGAAAAGCTGGACCAACAATAAAACAGTTGCAGAAGAAGTAGCTACAGCCAGAGCAGTCCAGGGTTAAGTAGTCCCTACAACGAGACACTCAAAGCTACAACTAGCTTTATCACCACCCTGAAGGTGTTCGCTTCCACCGACTTCACCGAGAGCCAAGCACGCTCAGCACCTTAAACACGCAGGTTGTTACAGGATCTACACAACTCCCACTGCAACACCCAACTGGGGCACTCAACAGGCACTGGCACGTAGGTTTCAGCACAGAAGCTTTCAGAGTTCGAGCTTCATTTCCGTATGCGGTGGTAAATCACAGAAATACGGGGGTTTTCCCTCTACTCCACATCACTTAAGTTTCGTTTCAGTGTAGGACTAAACATACCAGTGTATGAACAAATTAAGAAGTCCCACAGCATGACCTGGCTACTATTAACATTTTACTGGAAACAAAAAGCACGCTAACGTTCAAAAGCACTTTGTGGGCACTCGAGCCCACGCCAACGCGCGTTTACTCCAGATACTCCTACCACAAACGGACCAAACAAAACACGCGGCCGTTTGTGCCGTTAAATTACCTGGATAGAAGCTCCAACTTTTTCGTTGCAAAGGCTGCACACCAGTGCCCATCTGCTGCTGGGAATGTGAGAAACCTTTGTAATGGGCTCCATTTTTTCCGGGCTTCCGATGCTCACCTTCGAGAAAAGAGGTTAAAAAACACAGAGTGGCTGTTACACTGTTAACTGAAAAGGGAAACGGTTTTATCAACAAAATCAAATTCCTGGTGTGACTATGCAAAGTTAGCATGTTCCAAGCTCCTCGCTTTATAAGGAACTAAATGATTAGAGTTCTTTTTAAAAAAATCAGTTCCTCGCTGCATGAACAAAACCGTTTCAAGGTGAAGCCCCCCAGTTTAAAATTATCACACAGGAGGAACGCTTTGGTGATGAGAACCCACCGGAATTCTCACTGTCCCATCCAAACCTTCCCGACTCCCCTTTAATGCCTGTTTACGAAACAAAACAGTCCTTTTGTGTGCAGGTTAAATGAGCTTTGCCAGCAGCAAAGGCCTAATTTTTTCCACTTTTGGTTGACAAAGGTAATGTCATTGATGACCTTTTATCCTGCCAGACTTCACATCTAGTTGAAAATCCTTTACACTGTCTTCCTCAGTACCACCAAACACACGCTACACTCAGTGTAGTGACACCTGGGTTGAACACGGTTTCTGACCGATTCCTCCTCTCCCAGAATCACGCGGCCCCGAACTCCCGGTGGATCGGCACCTACCTCTGGAATCCACAGAGCGCAGCTAACGTGGACCCACTTGGTGCCACTTCGGGTTGGCTTCATGGCACCACCCTTCTTGGGACACAGCAAACACTTGGGCTGAACGCCCAGCGCGCAGGTCCGGCACAGCCAGCTGCCTTCCGGCACCTTCAGGATCCCGTAACACGCCTGTATTCCCATTTCCAGAGAACGGACAGAAAACAGAGGAAACAACAGGCATTTCTGTTACTTTTTAGCAGCTTGCACACAGCCCCTCCCAACGCTCAAAACGTTCTTCATGGAGCTCCTGACACCACACAAGCATTAGGCTCGTGGAGGAGCTCGGGACACTTTCAGTGACAGGAGCGAAGTCACGGGCAGCTGTTGGGCAGAAACCCACTGCCCACTTCAACTGGGAAAGTGAAGAATGTGTTTGCCAGCCCAAGGGGCAAGGGGACTCACGACAGACCACCCTGGCAGCGAGCTAGGATGAAGCTCAGCGTCACAAAGACTACACGGAACAGGAACTGTATCGCATTAATAAAAGCAAGAACCACAAGTTCAAGGGTGCTGCTGTGCAACACTCCACGGTGTTCACTTCTTATTCGGGGGGAAAAGCACAGAACGGCAACTCATTAAGATCGCTTGTTTCCCAAGATCCCTTCTTTATGGAGTCCTCTGTTCAAATTACTGTCAGTTTTAACCCTCCAAGTTTCAGATTTGCTGTGATCAGAGAACCATACACGTCTAAAAACGTCCACTTTACTCCAACTATTTTGCAAGATCGCCATTTGTACCTTCCAGCTGTCACGGGCAGATTTATTTATCACTAGTACAAGCGCATTTGAGTAACACGTGCAAGGAAATGCTGTTCTGGCTCACCGGACAACACACTTTTCCACACACTGAATGACAAAGCCAACTTCCTAAAGCTGGGAAAGGAAGGACAGGCCGATAGGAATGCATCTGCCACGGTGAGAAGCGTTTGCAGAAACCTGTGTGCTGAATTGCCTCTGTTCTCTCACGCCAAGCAGACGGCTTAACTGCCACACGAAGGGGGCACACAACAGGGCTTCGTCAGCTCAGCTCGGCTCCGCAGGTTCTCCCTTCGATCCAACTGACCATGATACATCCTACCTGTGTCTCTACGGATTGCCTCAAAGCTCTTTTTGGCCCTCCCTGCCGAGCCCAAGCTGCTGGTAGTAAGGGTGTGTTAGCCCCAGGAGCGCGCAGAAGGAGAGGAGAGGAATCTAGCAAAAGCCGCGACCAAGTGAGAGTGTACAACAAGGCACACGTGTATGTTTTGGGGAGGCAATTCCTCACCTCGTAACTTCCTCCACACACAGACTCCTAACCCCCCTACATTCTGACATCCGTACATAACCCTCCCGACGTTTCTAGAACCACGTGTAACAGCTCTCCTTCTCAACGACGCGGTTTCTAAATTCATCCTACCGCTCAATGGCAAACTCTGCAATGACTTAACAGATCAATGTCTGCCACTGGAAAAAAAAAATCCAATCTGTTGTCTCTAACGGTTTGGAAAAGTTTCTGTCAGCACCCCTACACCCCCCGCTGGGCCCAGGCCGCCGTACCTGGTGCACGCAAATGTTGCATTTGTCACAAAACACCATCTCGTTGCCGTCTTCTCCGTCTGGAGACTGACAGACGTCACAGACAACATCCTCATCGTATTCAATCCCAAGGCCTTCTTCCGTCTCGATAGCGTGATTCATGTTGTCGTAGCATCGCTGCTCAAACTCCTCTATGACCCTTTCCATCGTGTACTCGTCCAGCTCGGGCATCCCTGGGAAACAGGAGTTGTTACTGATTTAAAGGGAAGGGCGATAACCACTGCCACACACACTCCAGCTTCCTTTTTAACAGCCCAGGAGATACAGCCAACCCCCACACGTACACGTGTCATTCCCAGACAATCACGCCTATTCCAGCAGAAACTAGGGACCCTGTAAAAAAAAGTCAAAGTCATCTTATAACTGTATTAAGCGAACCGAAGCGGAGTATCCAAAGCAATCTTTCAAAACCCTGAGAAAACCTTTCATAGACTGATTTGGGCTTCCTCGTCTTGTTCTCATTTTCCCTCTCAGGACAGCACTGTCTATGGCTTTTGCTTCCATTTTGCAACCCAGATGTTGACTCTTTGGTGAAAGATCTGAAGGTGTTTTGAACCAAAAGTGATGGAGGTAGAGGGGGAAAAAAAGAAAAAAAAAAAAAAAAGAAACCAATGACAAAGTCTCTGCTATGATACTTGTAGCAAACTTGCAGTTTGCTTGTCCAGTTCTGGGCCCCCCAGTTCCAGAAGGATGGGGAGCTGCTGGGAAGAGTCCAGCGCAGAGCCACAGAGGGGATGGAGGGGGTGGAACATCTCCCTCGGGATGAAAGGCTGAGGGAGCTGGGGCTCTTGAGCTTGGAGGAGACTGAGGGGTGACCTCACTGATGGTTACAAACACATAAAGGGCGAGTGTCAGGAGGATGGAGCCGGGCTCTTCTCGGTGATGGCCAGTGACAGGACAAGGGGCAACGGGTGCCAGCTGGAGCACAGGAGGGTCCACAGGAACATGAGGAAAAACTTTTTCCCTGTGAGAGTGGCAGAGCCCTGGCACAGGCTGCCCAGAGAGGCGGTGGAGTCTCCTTCTCTGGAGACATTCAAAACCCGCCTGGATGCGTTCCTGTGTGACCTGCTCTGGGTGGTCCTGCTCTGGCAGGGGGCGTGGACACTTCGAGGTCCCTTCCAACCCCTGACACTCTGATCCTGTGTTTCTAACAACAGCTGCTGGTTTTTACAAGTTCCAACCCAACAGGGGGCAACCCCAACTGAGGTCTCCATCAGACCCTGCTATTTGTTTTAAGAAGTGAAAAACACAGTTGTAATAAATGCAGCGTCAAATCTGGGACAGTAAGTAAATGCGACATCTAATGCAGGGCTTGGTCTTTTCAAACAGCATGCGTCAGAAAATTATTCATGATACCAGAGCTACAGGCTGATTACATTACAGTGTGCTACAATTCAGATTTGTTAATTATGTTAAAATTACTAGGATAGACCTGAAAAGACATCTACCACAGAAGGAGCAAGAAAAGTATCAAAAAAGAGCGCAGTGCTTCCCCCCTCTGGCTTCCACCTCCCGCTTGCCCTGACAACGAGCTGGCTGTAATACCTCCAAGCTGGTTCTACACCAACCCCTGCCACAAAATCATGCAGCACCGAGCAAGCCACGCTGCTGCAACCAACCAGACTCTTGTGAAGTCAGTTTAGCACAAGAACCTCCATACACTTGAATCACTACAACGAAGCACAGGCTTAGGACATCCCGCTTTCGGTACAATTCCCAGTACCTAACGTTTACGGTGACGTACAGAAGCTGCCAGCCTCATGGTGTGTGTTTCAACAAGGAAAATCCTCCTTTTAGCTCTCCCTGTGAATAACTGAGCCACAAATTCCACAAAAAGAAGAAAAAACCCTCCCTCGCTCCCCCAGATAAGACGACAAACCCTCTACAAAAGTACTTCCAGCTTCCCTCACCAACAGGCCAATCTTTGCAGCAGATCAACGCACCCTGTACTCCCCGAACCGAGCAGCTGAAAGGGAGCGAGAGGGAGCACCCAAAATCCTACTGCCCTGCAGCCCGGAAATGTTACACCAGCAAAGCAGATGACGGCACGTTTTAGACCAGTTTAGTTTGCAACTAAATTCTAACCTCACGGTTGCTATCGCTTTATAAAAACCCCCTTAGAGATCATGTCAATGGCTGTGCACTTACAGGGGTTAAAAAAAGGGAACCAAGGGGCTGCAGCTTCAGTTCAAATGTTTACATTCGTTCTTTTAAGAACAGAATGAACGTTTTCAGTACCCGAGGCACTCCAACAGGTATCAAAGACGACACAGGGAATTCACAGCTGCAGGGACACCATAAAGGAAGTGCTCCAACTGCAGATCAGGGAGTATTTCACTTTCCAAATGCCCACTAACCGCATCTGCAGAGTGCAGTGTCTGACAGAGCACCCAGGCACACATTTCAAGAGCGACAGCGTACTGCCTGGTCCCGACAGGAGCGTTTCCCCACCTCTCCATACAGCAGAACTGAGTGGATAAATATTTAGAGCAAATGAACTACAGGAAAGTACACCAAAAGACAACACTGAAGACCAGATCTGTCAAACCGTAGCTGTTCAGTGTTTCGTGTGCGACGTGTGCTTTTGAAGGCTACGTTGATGTAGCAGAACGGCTACCCCAGGGCTTCACGCACAGGTACAAACCTGCACGAGGCAGAGCCCCTCTCGTGCGCCGCGTCGCTAACGCTACTCACCCCAGCCCTCCCCTAGACAGACACAGGGATTATGGACACTGGATAGATGGGTATCAGTTCCAAATCATAAAAAGTATTTTTAATTTTTCTTGGAAGAAAGCAAAGGGGACTTGCTGCTGCCGTTTTCCTGAAGGTAACTGGAAAGGTAACCTAAGCTCTTGAATCACAAACTGTTTTAAAATCGGCTAAGCCTAACGCTGAACGTGAGCAGGCCTGACTGGAGATGTGGAAAAAAGGCTTGGGTAAGAGACCAGGTCACAGCTGGGTCATCTGCTTCTTCCATATCTGGGTTTAAAAAGGAGAAACTTTAACAGAAGAGTTACAAACAGTCAGTTTGTGGTTTATCAGGTCTTGGGCCACGCCACGTACGGGCTAAAGGCAGGTAAAACCTGTATGATTAAAGTGTAGCCCAAGGCACAACGCTAGACCAAAACTCAACTCTTCACCAACACGTCCAAACCTCTTCCCTCTGGCACAGCACCTCTTCCCTTACCTAAACAATGCGGTACAAGTTCCCTGCTGACCTACATCCTCTTCAATTCCACTGAAATCCTCTCCTGAAGCGCACGCCTTACCAAAGAAACGTTCCCTTCTTGCCCTGCCCCCCTGCCCCTTCCCTCACACAAGCCGTCCTGTAGGAAAGGGAACAGTCGCTCCCCTCGTGACAGCTCCTCTTCCCGCTTCGGAACAGGAGCACGCGGTCACAGGGAGGTTTGGGAGGTGCCTCCAATAAACCACGGCGGGAATTCCTTACTGTCTCATTCCCTGCACAATTCAGCGCCCTGGGTTCTCTAAACTCCCAAGACCCCCTTGTCTACCTTTGCACAGCGAACACCACTAGCGATGCCGACACGTGACACAGAGAAAAATAAGTAAGTAAAAAAAAAAAGGACTAGAAAAACGACCTGAATGGTCCATCTGATGTGCTCTTCAAGGGCCTTGATGGCAAAATGGGAACTCTGGAAGAATTCCCTTGTGCAACAGAAAGCAGCAGAGAAAAAAACACCTACGTGGCCAGGTTCTGGCCTGGTCTAAGCAGATACAAGTCAGCAGTTATGACCGCATGTATCTTCGGGCTTAATCACATCAGGCCTGGTTTCCCGTAGCTACCCCAGCTCATAGGATTACTACCTCTTCCTACCTCTATCACCTCTCCCCGCTGCTGCCCTCTCTGTAATTATTCTTACGACTTCCAGTTTAAAAAAAAAAAAAAAAAAGCAAAGCAACAAACGCACAAGCGCTCACGGCTCACCCATTTCTTTGAATTCTTCATTGGCAAGTTGCAGCCACGCTACGTCCACGTCGTTGAGGTCATAGCGACACATGCTGTCCGCTAAGGTTCGAATGTCAACATAGCCCAGCTCCGGAGGCTCCGAATCCGAGGAAACGATGTACTTCCTGGGACGCGTGAAGGTGACAGCTTTCGTCTCGGATACAACCCTAAAACAGACAGACAAGCGGACGTCAGGCAGGCTGGGTCGCTGAGAGACTTGTGCCTACAGAATTCAAAATGCCTCGTTCCAAGTGACTAACAATCATCTAAGCAATCATCTTGCACCACTGAGACGGGAAGGGAAAACAGTACAGTGCACTTCCATAACGGATTGGTGGTATTAGAAGAAATTAATTGGAGTTGTCCAGGAACCAAATTCATTACCAGAGTTCTAAATAAAATGAAAAGATTAGAGGATAAAGGTATGCTTACTCTGACCCAAAATTCACACTTGTTCAAAGCTAGAGTAGGAACACTGTATTTATGTAGTGATGGCTGCCATATACACAGATGTTAAACTCTGTTTTAAGACTTTTTTTTTAAATCAACCTGTTAACTACAACACCAAGATCAAGAAAATTCAAGGAAAAAATTATTATTTCCTGCTACATTTGAAGTTTTCGGTACGTTTCTTTTCAAATTTTTACTTCTGTACACGTGTGTAGCTACAGGATTGCCATCTTTGTGAAAATCGAAAGACCTTTCTGCAGAGAATCAGTCATTTGCACTAGCTTCACCTCCACTTACCCAAGCAGATCCGCGCTCTGGCATCCTGGGTCTGCATTTCCCCTGACACCATCGCTAACGCCGTGCTGGGCCAAATATTAAATCAGCTGCTGCCGAAACTACCTTCTCTCAGGTTTTGAAGGCTCCAGCTGGCCAACGACCAACCATGAAAGCGTATTTTAGCTGCAAGCCAACTGAAAAATGTTGTTCGACCACAGGCACTGGTTCAGGCAACAGTAAAGCTTGTTCTAGGTCAGATCCCCGCAAGGAGCTGGGGGCAAACCCGCCCAGTTCACAAAGGACGTTCGACCAGCAAGCTGGTGATGCCTCCAGACAGCAAGATAACTCTGTCAGGTCACCTGCAGCGTGGCTCTCTCAGCAGAGGACACCTTCTCTTAGTCAACTGCACGCACTGACGTGCAGTTGGGATGAAGCCCACGTCAGGACGTAACGCTGGTACCTCAGGGGCGACACCGGGCCACGCTGCCAAATGACCGCCTCCTGCAGCACCAGTGTTGGTGATTTTGGTGCTCTAGGGTTACAAGGGAGGAGATAGCACCACCCCACACACAGACACAACTTCCTGCTGGGAATAGCCCAAGCTCCCCAAAAAGCAGGACATCCTCCACCCGAGGAGCCAACGGGTTAACTCCACCTCCCATCAGAAGACCCTGATCTCCCGCTGCTGTACCTGCACACGCACATCTCAGTAAATACCTGTATTTCAGTCTCCTGCGCAGCCCTAAGCCTTCCCCTCATCCAGGTTATTTCAGACAACGATCTGAGAAACGGTGGTCAAGAGCCAAATGCTGAATTTGGGGCTCCTGAGGTGCCGAAGGGGACCGTGGAAGAATACAAATCTCAACGGCCTTGTCAGGCTAACTGCACTGCCCGGACTGCTCCTGGTCATCCTGCATCGCAGCAGTAAAATATTACAGACTACTAGATCTCACAGAGAATTTACTTCAAACTGGGCACTGCTCTCTGAATCTTCTGTACCATAAATTCCTTCACAAGTACCTCTCCAGAAGGAAATCGTAACTTCTGGGCAGCACCCTGCGCATGCTGTCTACGTACCACTGTGGTGGCACAGAATAAATAAGCACAGGCACTTTGGCTTCAAAACAAACCACCTTCATCTCTTTTCTGCTGTGATAGAGAGAAGTATTAAAAAAAAAAGCCACACTTACTACATACCAAAACCCACATTCAACTGAATTATCCATCCGACCGCATGCTTACAGGGAATCACCACAGGGACTCGCTCCTTTCCCCACCCCTCGGAAGCTACTCTTGCTGCCCTGACCAGCTGCTACAAGGCCAAAGCCTTTTATTCTCTATCCTGTACCTCATTAGCATCAGCTATCTGTGCTCTATCTTCCTTCTGCTCCACACCAGCTACTACCTGACTACTGCCGATTCAATTCACCGAACATCTCCCTCCCCTCCCAAAGCCAGGCACAGAACAGTTCCAGTACTCCAGCACCACCACGGGAGGGCTCTCCCCAGTGTTTTGTGAGGGGGGCAAAACAGGACAATAATCAGGCATCAGAGGGCCACTCTGACCAGCAGGTGCTCACCAGCAGAACCATACAAGACAGGTCAGCAACCAAAAGTGACAC